ATCTTTCTTTTTTCAGACAGGTATTTCTCTCATCAAACTTCTCTTCTTTTTCTGGGATTTTTGTGCTGTCTTGACCTCAAGTTTTAAAGTACTGCAGGCTGCTGTGTTATCACAAAATAAATGAGCCAGGCCAGGCATGTTTGTGACATTAGAAACTAATCTGATATGAAGAATTCTTCATGGCTCAGGTGGAAGTGGAACAGCGCTCTCCTGCAAACAGTTTTGGGAACAGAAAAGGTTCTGAGAATAAGGAAAATATCTGGGTGACTTGCATGCACCCTCTAACCAATGTAAATAATTATATTTGTTTGCAAACATCAGAGGCCCAGGTGTTTTGAGCCACTGCATGCCACCACATTTCTGTCCATTTCCACCATGGAAATGGTGGAAATGGACATTCCATGTCCAGTAACGTCAGGACACAGAGCACACTGTGCCCCTCTGTGGCACTGTCATTGATTCCTGATCTGCCAGCAATACAGGGCAAGGCAGACTATTGAGTCAGGCTTATGTGGGATCATGAATTGAAAGCTTGCTATAAAAAACATTAAATAATTAAAACACAAATTCCACCAGGGATGCTGAAATGAAGAGAAGCAATTTACAGTCAATGTGAGTGGATGCTCAGACAATGTACTCATTACATTTCTGCATTGAATATGTGTGCTAGTTAAAGCCCTGGTGAAATATTCCAATTGAAACAATGGATGGAAAGTGATTTTCTAGCTTTCAGTAGCAACTATTCCCTGATTGAATCCACTGCTGAAATGTCAGGCATTCACCAAGGCATTTCTAAAGCACCATGCATTCTATCACTGGCACATACTGGCTACCAACCAGTGACCTTTGTGGACATGGAAGGAGGGGAGGAGAGAAAGTGAAGAAGAATAACGGGAATGGGGTGCAGAGAACACACCTGTAATCTCTGAAAGTCAAGTTACTCTCATCTCCCACCGAAGCTGTGAACTTCAACTGTTTGATGATTCCACAAGTACAAAAAAGGTAGGTTTAGCATTGTTTGGGAAGATGAATTGTGTCTGTCCACACCCTAGCACCTCATGATTTTCTCTTGGATTTACCTTGGATTAGAACTTTCTGTTTGCAAATACCTTCTTTTGAGAACATAAAATGTTTTTCAAGCAGTGCTCTCTGTATGTAAACCACTGACATGAACCCTTCACTGATCATCTTCAGTCTGTTTTTTCAAGACTTAGCATCATTATAAAACACTCAGTACAAACACTGATTGCTGAAGTGCAGACTGTTTTTCACATTTCCTTTGGCCTGATCCTGTAACCACAAACAGACATAAATAGTCCAACAGATCTTTATTTTTTTGCTCAAGAGAAGCCAACCATGTGTGTTGGGAGGGATGAGACTGTTAACGGTGAGTTGTGACATCTGCAGGGGGAAGGGAGAAGATGGACAAGCTGTATCCTTGTTCTACATGGCAAAGGACAGAGAAGCAGCAAGGAACTTCAGCCTGGACAGAGTCAGTAGGACAGGTCACAGCACTGGACTCTGCGCTCCAAAGGCACAGAGAAAAAGGTGGGGTGGGTGGGTGAAAAGAAGCTGCACTTGATATTTGTTGATTTACATTTTTGTCTGTCATATAAATGATTGAGCTGTAGGCCCATCCTAACAGTATTTTCAAACAAACAAAAATAAATTTTTGAAAAACTGGAAGGGGAATTATGAAGAGTTGCAAGGATAAAGCAAGACCTGGCGAATAGAGTTAAAAATCTTGATACACAGGCCTTAAACCTGATAGCTAAAATGAATATTTAGAAGGTCAGGATTGATGAATGCAGACAAATACAAAGGCATAAATTTGAGAGCTAGGCTACAAGGCCATCTTAAAAGCCTACACAACTGGTGGACTTCTCTCTCAAATTCCCAGGCTGGATCTCTCCAGGTCAACAGCTACTTCAGTGGAAGTTACTGGCTTGATGCATACACTTCTGAATTATACCCTTTGGTTTTTCATGCAGGAGGTCAAATGTGTTGGTTCTGCTTGATGTGTGCAGTTACTTCTGAAGCTGCTTCCTGCTCAAGACCTTTTAACACACATGTATTCCCCAGTGATTCCCCAAAGACACTTTTTAATACATAAACTTGTGCTTCCTAATTTTTTGTTTCTAGATTTATACAGAAAAGAGAAGGAAAAAAAATAAAAGGAAGGAGAATGAAGTGCTTTTTACTGTGCAGTATCTAGCCCTCTTAAAAGTGAAAGGTACTGTGCTCCAGCTGCATACACATTGCCTTTTAGAGGGTTTCTAATGGGTGGGCAACTTTTGGAATTCAGAAGGGAGAGGAAAGACTATATTAAAGACTATTAATTATTTTACCTAGGGAAAAGCAGAGTTTTTCTGCTATTTACAGAGCAGTGTAAGGAAAAAAATATAGGTCAAAATGCAAATGCTCCTTTAAGATTCTCAAGCTACTGAGTTAATATATTTATTTTCTATTTTGCTATGACAAAATACTAATAGTAATAAACAGCACAGTATTAAATATGTGTCCAAACACCAATATGAACGTCAGTACCACAGCTGGGTGACTTGGTGAGGAAGTGCCATCATTTGAAAATACATGAGGGAGAGGTCCAGGGGCTGATGTGTCCCTTCACCACCTCTGCCCTGGTGTGGGGGACTTCCAGATAGACAAAGCACTGCAAGATTCTTACTGAACTTGACAATTTATAGATGCTTAATTCCTCTTAAAACAACACAAAAACCTGCACCCTAACCCAAACTGTCACTTGAAAATTGGAACATGTCTTGATTAAGGTCATAGAAGAATGATAAGAGAGTAATGAAGAGTAATGAACAGCACTCAAATATGCTGAGTCTTACTATTTGCATTAAATACAAGGCAGTCTTTCTTCTTGGTATTACACTGTTAATTGCCAAACAGATATTTTGAAAAGCAATGGATGTGTCCTTGGAGAAAGACTTGTGCTCACCCTGCAGAAAGCCTTAATTCCTCAGTGTGTTTTAAAATAAGGTTTTAGTGCTGAGCTTTCCGACTCAGACTTAATGCAATTCAAAAGATATTTCTTTTGACAGGGAAAAATGAGTAAAGTCACCAAGTTAACTGTCTTTGAAGAGAAAAAAAATCAAAGCTGAATAAATGTATGTCTTCCCTTAGCTTCTAAAACTCTGGTTTTGGAAATAAAAAAGTTTTCCCTTTTATTCAATAAGCAGGTTAATGACACTTCTTGTATTTGCATAAAATTGGGAAAAAAATTAAAGCTGAATAAACGTAGGTCTTCCCTCAGCTTCTAAAACTCTGGTTTTGGAAATGAAAAAGTTTACCATTTTATTCAATAAGCAGATTAATGACACTTCTTGTATTTTGTAAAATTGTAGAGGACTGCATGGAATGTAGCCACATTTTATTAACCCCTTTCTGAGGTTGAGTTCTCGACACCATCATTTTGAAATGTACATATTGCACAAAGTCAGGGCAGACCTTCCTCAGGGTCCTGGTGTCATTAATACTCTCTTCTTAATGAAATTTCTTGCTCTGTAACTTGATGGCACAACCTCTGACCCGCGTGAGGGTGCAGAACCTTATTAATGCACCCTGCTGAAGGAACTCGAAACCTGTGTCCAGCTGACTCACCAGGCAGATGCTTCTCACTTCTAACAGGACCATAAGCCTCATCACGGAGACAGGGTGATCCTGTAGGACAGCCTGGGAATAACTCAGCTTGTAGCAAAAAGCTTTGGGCTTCTGCTGATTGAATGAGTCACAGAGCTAAGCCCAGCGAAGCTGGTAAATTTTACCCAACAGAGCTTATGCAGATCTTGGCTTCAATCCACCAGAGCACTTAAGCACATGCTTAATTATACGCAAATGACATAGAGCAATCGAGGTACGCACGTGTTTGAGTGCGTTGCTGGGTGAAAGACTTTATTTAGAGAAACGTGGAAAAGTTGGTAACCCCTGAAAGAGGTGAAGTAGAGAGGTGCAAGTGACACCGTGCCACAGCCCAGTTTGGGTGGGGAGCCAGTCCAGGGAAAGTGTTAGGTTTTAAGGTTGGGCCTCTAGCAATTCTCCAAATGGTTTATTGTGCAGGTCATGGTGAACATCATGGTAATGGAGATTACAGTGCAGGAAACTCATGCTGGGACTTTCAGATGGATTTGGAGGCCCTGAGAGTCCGAGGCACACTATGTGTGTAATGGCACTGGCAGCCTGCAGTGGGGCCTCACCCCAGAGAAGCATCACGAGTCGGGAAACAGATCAGGCTTTACTTCTTTACATTGAGGGTGGCAGAGCCCTGAACAGGGAGGTCGTGAAATCTCCCTCTCTGGAGACATTCCAAACCCACCTGGACGCGTTCCTGTGCCACCTGCTCCAGCTGACCCTGCCCGGCCGGGGGGTGACGGGATGATCTCCAGAGGTCCCTTCCCACCTCAACAATTCTGCAATAGCCGACCCATCTCCCTGACACCGTTCCGGCCTTCTCTGCTCCGGGCGGCCCTGCCGCGCATGAAGCCGCCGGCCGGGCACCGAGGGGCCCGGGGGCCGCCCCCCGCCGGGGCCGATGCCCGGAGGGTCTCTCCCGCCCCGCCTCCGCTCGGGGCCGGCGCGGGCAGCGCTCCCACGGCCGCGGCGGCCTCCTGACCCGCGCGTAACCCGGCACCGCCCGCCCCGGCAGCGGCCGCAGCCCCGGCGCGGCTCCCGGCTGCCGGCTCGCTTCCCCATCGCCGTCATCGCCATCCTCCTCCTCCTCCTCCCGTCCCGCCGGTCCTCCGGGCGCGTTTCCCGTGGTGCAGCGCGCGCGCGGCGCTCTGGCCGGGTGTCGCTGTCACCGCCCGCGGACGCTCGGCGGAGCAGCAGGAAGGAGCCGCCGCCGCCGCCGCCGCTCCCCCCGGGCTCCCCCCGCCGCCGCCGCCGCCCCGCCGGCCCCCCCTGCCCGCGCCCCGCCGCCCCCGCCATGCCCGGGGCCGCGGCACGGCCGCTCTGAGCTGCCGCCGCCGCCGCCGCGCCCCGGCCCGGCCCGGCCCGGCCGCCTTCTCCTCGCAGCTCTGCGGCCGGTAAGTGCCGGCGGGAGCGAGCCGGGGCCGGTCGGGGCCGTTCGGTGCGCGGAGGGAGGGCGGGAGGAGGAGGAGGACAGGGAGGGGAAGGAGGGAAGGAAGGGAAGGGGGGGCCGCGGCGCGGTGCGTCCCGCATGGGCCGCGCTTGGCCCCGGCGCGGAGAGGCCGGCGGGGAGCGGGGATGAGGAGGCGGCGGGCGCCCTCCGCCCGCTGCTCCCGCTGCTCCCGCTCCGTCCGCTCCCCCGGCCCGGAGCCGCAGGGCCGCGCAGGCCGCGCCGGGGCGGCGGGGATGGGGCCGGCGGGGCTGCCTGACAGACGGACAAAGAGCTGACGGACGGACGGACGGACAGCGCGTCCCGCCGGCCCCGTCCTCCCGGGCCGTATCCTCCCGCTGCCCGCCGCTCCATTGTTCCCGGTGTAAGATAGGTGAAGCGTGCCGACCTGCGAACAGTCATTTCGTTTGGTTTTATTTCTGCATAACCTTCTCAGAGTCTCCTCTCAGCTGCTCGGAGGAAGCTTTTGCACGGCACCTCTTTTCCCCAGCGTCGGGAGCTGCTAACAAGTGCCAGGCTGGAAGTGGCTTGGGAGAGCAGGGGGGACCAGTAGGAGTTGAAGAGAAATTAGTTGGGCTTCAAACACTTTCACTCATCAACATCATTCCTCCCCCGATTCCTGCCAAACCTCAGCTGGGGTGAGTGCAGCAGCGTCTGCATTAAGCTGGCTCATGGAAAGGGAAGACATTTATGTTGCAAACATAAATCATCTCTCTGATCACTTTGTTTTTGTAAACTGTTTAGGGCAGCTGTGAGAGATTTTGCGGAATGATTTTAAAAAAAGTGGATGTGTGCAATCCAGTGATCACAACTTTAGTCTTGCTTTGAAAGTCTACTTGGAGCATGACCTATCTCTGTCTGCTTACACGTGACATTCTGGTCCAAGAAGTTGTAGGTGGGAGAGATGTCTCAGTCCTGGTGAGCAGCATCTTTGCCACTGGACAGGACAAATGACAGAGGACTGTGTTTTTTCTTTTGAATAGGATCTCAGTGGCTTTGTTTATTTCTGTACTTATTTGCAAATGTCCGTAGTACTTTACAAGCTTGCTAGTAATTTATGCATGGGCCCACCCATCACGCTTCAACATTTTGAGTGCCCATATGCAATTTCGTTATTGTAAGTGGTATACATTTTGTAGCCATTCTCCATGAGTTTGGTCAATATGCCTTGTGAATGGAAGAAGTAGAAAAACAGCACTACCCTGCATCAATTTTTGCAGGTGTTCTTATACTGTCCTCAAAATCACTCCAGATAAGCCAGTGGTCTGATTGAGGCTTAACATCTATCCTGCTGTGTGAGAGGTTTGCATACCCTCAGGCCATGTTAGTTTTCCAGCGTTCCCTTGCAGTGTTTGGGTTTGTGCATTGTCCAGTGACAGCTGTCATCTGCAGGAGTTTGGCTGCCCCGGAAGCTCTGGAGCATGTGAGGCCTGCTTTCCTGTGCATCTCGTGGGATCTGCAGGCTCCTGGTACTGACACATTCATAGCACAGACCAGCAAAGCCTGCTCTTGTTGCAGTAAATTAGGAAAACAAAATGCAGTTTCAGTTGTAGTTTCCTGAAAACTGTTGTCATGTCCTTTCCTCGTGAATATGCAGCTGAATGTATGTGTGTGTTCAGTTTCCAAAAGTGTTTCCTTTGTATTTTTTTCTGGATGTCTGCATGCCCCTCTTCCTCAGGTATACCTGTACTTCAGTCAGTGAGCTGATGTAAATGAAGAAAGCTGAAAAAGATGAGGATGATGTCTTGCATTTAGACTGCTGTGTGCATGTGTCCTTCTGTCTTCGCTCCTCAGGCTGAGACCTGAGAGAACAGATGTGTATGTGATCTGTGCTTCTGTTACTCTGTCTTGTCCATGTGTGCTTCATGCCTACTGTATTGCAAACATATTCTGTTCATGGAAAAATCCTTAATATAATGCATCATGAAATCAAACTGTTAAGTGGGTAAGTAGCTACTTGAACCACAGTGATTTTAAAAAAAGGGAGAAGAATTATTCAGAATGTGGAAAGTTATGTTGCAGGCTGAGTTGTTCACCTGAAGGAATATATACTTTGGGAATAGTGTTATGTAGTTTTTCAAAAGGTGGTTTTCCCTCTGAGTTCAGTGTGTACAAGTTTATTTATGAGGATTTAAAGCGCTGTGGAGCGTGGGGATGTTCTAAAGACAGTTGGTGTAAAACCGTTGAGGTTGGAAGTTTGTACTTCCCTCTGAGAATTCCTGTGTACCACAATGCTAATAATATATTACTCTAGTGAAATATGGTGATGGTTCATCTTAAAGACTTTATCTCACTTCCAGATATGTTCTCTGCACCACAGATTCAGTAAAATAGATTTGCAAATAGTGGAGCTCAGGGTATCAGCTGTTAGTAGATGGATTTAGGTTAAACATTTAAACATATACTAATGGGAAGGAAGTGTTTGTATTCTGATTGGGGAATAGCATGGTGGGTTTGGTTTCTGTGTCTGCTGCAAGACATTTGTGATTTTTTTGTGACTGGAATCTCTGTAGTGTCTTCCTCCAGCGAGGATTGCTGTGTGGGCTCTTACAAATGGAGACCTGTCTGTAGGGAGCAGCTTGATGGAGTGGGCCTTAATCTATCAAAACCCCTTTAAGTGTTTAGCATAATTTGGGATTAAGTTTGATTTAATTTTGGCTCTAATATAAAATACATTTTTCTCTGTGAAATAGTGGAAGTTGAATAAGAAATAGTAACACTGGGGTGATGTCTTTTGTAAGTGAAGATACTGCTGTTGCCCTAAATATGGAGTGAAGCATCCAGCTTTCTTGTCCAAACTGAACATGTCTTATATGTTAAATGAATGGCACAAGCAGTGAAAAGTAAGCACCAGTGGAAATATTTTTTACTTTGAAAGCTCTTAAATGGATCTAACAGAGAAATAGATAGGTTTTATTGAAAATAAGTACTTCCTCTGCCTTTGCCTGGCAGTTTAATGATAGCTGTCTTTCAAACCAACATCATTTTTAATGAAATAGATTCAAGCCTTCAGTTTGCAGTCTGATCTGCATAACTGAGTGTTTAAAGACAAAAGTGGTCCCCCAAAGGCTCCATGGATGTAACCAGACATGGGTGTCTGCTTCTATCAGGTTGCAGGGCTTATGTAAAGGATCAGGACTGTGATTAAGTTCCACTTTAATTTGCTTAGGTTTTTTTGAAAGAAATACTTTTGGGAAAATTATATTTTTTGAAGTACTGAGATTCATGTTTTTTTTTCTTTTTTCATTTCTGTAAATTGGTATCTGTGCAGAAACCCTTGTACTAGTATTGAGTTAAATGTACAAACTTATTGTTTTTTAACAGCTGAGACATAGCTATTGACAAGATGTGTCAGCAAACCACAGCCATTGGCTATAATATGTAGTTATATGCCAAGCACAAATTTCTGTCTAACAAAGGAAAATCCATTCAGATTTTCATGAGATTTATTTTCATTTACACAAATGCTGTTAGTTACTTTATTTCAGTACTTTCCAGTGAAGTTAAATACACAGCCCCATCTGTTTAGCTCATTAGCTGGTTCTCTATATACATTTTAAATATACATTTTTTAATCTTCATAGAACAGAATGTTTTATACATCAGCAGTAATTCCATAAACTACACAAGTGATAAAATTTTAAACTATTTAACTTACAATTTATTGTACAAATTAAAATACAATAACATATGTGAGTATTCAAATATTATATGTGATTAAATTATCTTCCCCTGACTCTATATAGAGATATTTTTTGTATATCATTCATCATGTTGGATAAAATACTTGGAAAAAACCTATAATATGTTCTCACAAAACTTGATTCTAAGTGTGCCCCAAGGGGAAATTTGCTGTCTTTTAGAAAGACTGTGCATTCCACAACATGCAGAAGGGTTAGAATCTCCTGATAACTTCTTTCACACTCTCAGAATATTATTTTGGGAGATAGTATAGAAGCTGGTACTGCTTTTGCTCCAAAATAATTTTTAATGTACTCAGGATATTATCAGTGTGTTAGTGCATTCCAGTCTTTGATGTCAAGGGATAGCACTGTGAATACTGCTATGTAGTTAATGTATTACTAGGTTATATTATTTTATTATTTCATTGCACTTTTGAAAGCAGCACGCCATAGCTCAATAACAGCAAGTGTATTGGCCTGATCCTGGAACTGATACACTCTGCTGGCATCTTAGTATCACAGTATCTGCCTCTTGTCACGGTATGTGCAGAAAATCTTAAGACAGTGCTGTCTAATTCTTCCCTTATGACTAGGATGACATTTTTATAAGCGCAGAATTAAACAGTCTGATGATAAAATGAAATCTGTGTGGGAAGAAGTTCCAACCTGCAAACAGCAGTAGACTATAATTTATGAGCAGCCTATCAAATATAAACTGTCTAGATCTCTTGCACTGGAAAAAACCCAAAAAATCCAACATAAAAACCAAAACCAAAAATCAAGGTGCCTCTAAAATGTCCATAAACCAATTTCTTGATATAACATGTGATATTACTCATGTGTAAGGCTGTTGTGATATCTGTGTGAGTGCAGCTATGTGACTGATAGAGCCTTCTGCTCTAAAATAGTTTCAAATGGCAGCTGCATCTGCAAGGGTAAAAGATGCCCATTCATAAAAACTTGTACAACTGTCTTAAATGTTTTTGTAATAATTTCCCATAAAGGCTCTATTAACTTTTGTTACCTATGCACCCCACCATGGGTATAAAAGACTTCATTAGAGAGGTTTACAGTGCCAGTAACATCATGACTAGGTCAGGTTACCTCAGTGCAAGAGGTGAGGTGAGAAATACTGATGCTGAGCAGATGTGTCATAGTTACATGATCACTAGCAGTATTTAAGAAAAGGGAAAATCCAACTTTCTTCATTCTCTGAATATTAACTGCTATGTGATTGCCCTGAAAATTTGTCAGATTTTTCTTTTTCTGTTGTTAGGATTGTATTTGAGTCAAGGAAATGGTGATAATGCTCCTAAAAAGTGTGTGTGCATGCAGATATGCAGGACTCTAGTAGCATGTATTTATGATGCTGTCTGGCCTAAAGCTCTAGTCCTGGAGAATGAGAAATGTTCATCATAAAGTGAAGTTTATTTTGCCAAACAATAAGCAGTGTGTTTTAGTGCCTGGGAAGTCACTGGGATGGGGCAAAGCAAGGAAGCAGTTTCTAAATACACTGGGTTTCTGCAGGTTTCCGTGGGTACTGAAAACTCTCCAGGCTTGCTTTCAACAAGTGATCTTTAGAATTGCACTGCAGACATTCTTCAGTTTTATAAAGGCAGGGAAGAGAGAGCAAAGTGAGAATGTAAGCCAAGAAATAAATACATTTCACAGGATCCATGGATGATTTTTTTAGTCTGTAGGCATTATAACAGTCAGAATTTCCAGATTCAGTGGATGATTTCAGAGTGTCTCAAATAGGAGCACTCTGAAGGGAATTATCATCTCCTGAGGCATGATTCTCCTCTGGTTTTGACCACATACACACAGTGGTTTCTAACACAGGTCTCTGTTGCATGTCAGTCTCTATCAAACAAAATTCATGTGAGATGAATGACAATTGCCAGGCTTTTAAGTTGGGTCATTTATAGCACTGAGCAGTTCTTGATGCAACAGTA